CTCATCCAATGTTGGAAAAAAGGGCTGAAAATTCACCTGGCGCATGTCACGACCAAGGCAATTTAGCTTGTCATCACGAGCCACGGTGCAGTCCCACTAGCCCGCCGTGGCCTTGACGCTACGTGCGGCGCGCTCGCCGGTTTCAATGATGCCTTTCTGCTCCTCGTGCAGGCCATGCTTCCTCTGCAGCTCTTTACCTGACAGGAGGGGGACGTAAGACTTGGACAATCATAAAAGCTTTGCAGATATCGGAGCATGCATCTCACTATAGTCACTATAGCCAAGGCGCTCAGGTCCTGAAAGCTTCTCAGCTTTTCTTCTCCTCCGGAAATCTCCAGCGCTTTCGCGTACTTGGCTTCTGCACCGTCTTCTAGTCTCAGGAGATCGATCTTCTCGTCGTACTTGGAGTCCCCGAGGCCGAACTGTTCAAGGGGAAAACATGAGGGAGGCTGACATTCGAACGCAAAACGCTGGCCGGAACAGGAAGTCATGGAGTCACTGAGTCTGCACGTGCTTCAGCACAGGGTCAGATCCAGGGTGAAGCAAGGATGCCGCTGAGCTGGTGGCCTTCTCACGGATCGACGGCTTCGGTGGGTGATCCGCCTTTGGACTTGTCTCCTGAGGGTTGGAACCTACTGCATTGGTCCATGCAATGTGCCAGGATCTGCAAGAGCATTGCCGACGCGCACTGCAAGCTGCGCACTGTCAGAGAATGATACAAGGTGCGCCGAGTCGTTTCACATGGGTAGCTCATACGCTTGAGTGCGCGATATGTACTGTAAAACCGCAGGCTTTGCTGTCCATATCCATCGTCTGCCACTCTACCGGTCCACCTCTGTAATTTTCATGTCCATCTGCCTCAGCCCATATTATCTATCTATCTATCTGTATATCCACACGCTGTTGTCTGCTGTCTCTACCTATCTATCGGGCTACATCGCTGGCGATGCCAACGTTGACTCTTTTCCCAAAAATGTTGCTTGATGCCATCCTGTTTTTGAGATGCCTTCGCTATGCATCAGAAGCAAGGACCGGCATCCGAAGTCTCGACTTGCATAAACGACCAAAAACCTGCTGTTGCGCTGCACCCTTGCTCATGTTGTACTCTACAAGCCAAGCTCGAGCACGGGAGGCCTGGACGTGGTGGTGAGCTCCAGCAGGCTCCTGTCCATGGATAATTTTGGAGGCTGCAAAAATCTCACAAAGGATGAGAATGCGGGCGGGATTTAAATAAAAAACCCGAGTCTCGGAAAACATAGCATCTAGACGAGGCAGGAGCTTCGAAGACTGGCCTCGTGTGATCCGGCCTGGATGGCACCCTCGGAGCCGATGTTCGGGTCCTCCGACATGTTGGCCGCACAGCTTAGGGCTTATAGGGTTTAGGGTCCGGCGCGTGCGGCGCATGGGTGGCTCGCAGGGCGATGCCTTGGCCTACAAGAGCCAGGCACGCTTGCCACCAAAGACAGTGTTCCACGAGTCTGTCGATCAGCTAGCTTTCCAGGATTTTGAAGGTGTCCGCTTATGCCGGGCCAAGCTCACACAAAAAGGCAGCTCCCTTCGCATCGTGCATCCATGCCACCGGCTGCCACTTCTTCAACTTTGGTGTTGAGAATGTCCATCCTCAAGATTCGCAGGTGCTGAAAAGACGAGGCCCGAGCAACTGTGGCAATGTCACGGAAGGAGATGGTATCACCGCTCTGCACAGATCCAAGCCCTGTGCTCAGGACCTACATATATACTTCTGTCGAACGCGCACCGCCCAGCATCGCGGAAAGAGAAGACTAATGCCAAGGGCGCGGCACACGTGCCACCATACGCTCGCCCAAGTACTCAACCTTATCAGCACACTCTTGAATCAGAGCTTCCGATGTCTTGAAGTCAAAGCCGCGAGACACAACAGAAGGCACACCCGCAATCCCTTCCCTCACTTCCAGAAAGATAAAAAACCGCGAGCATCCCCAAGCAGCCTGGCCTTCTTCTGGGTTTGCTCCAAGAGCTGCACCTCCAGCTTCACAGTGCCCATGGGGAACGCATACAGCTTAGGATAGGTCTTAACAGTTGCAGCCGGAGATCCGGAAGCCCAGGAGAGTTTTTTATTGCAACAACCAACAGGAAGTGTGCACTATCACCGACTGTACCAGAAAGGAAAATGCAGTGTCTCATATCGAAAGCACCAGTTCAGAATCAGTTTGGAAGCAGGCTCGAACCTTTCGCTTTTGGCAGGCTCAAGCAGATTTCAGCTCACCTAAGCCTTTCTCGCAACTTCAAGTTCAACCTTCCGCGGAAAAGACCAAAAGACCTCAAGTTGCCAATCGCTGTTTTTTGGGGTTTAGGTACACCACCCTCCGCCTGCAGGTTCTCAATAGATGACACCAGATCGGACAACATCTCGCCTGGGGGGCTTGCAGTGCTCTGACTCTGCATAGACGAAGCCATTGATAGCACAGCATCTATCAGCTGCTCGTACAGATACGCTGACTACCAGAAGCTGTGCGAACACGGCACCTGCACAGGAGTTTGGGTTGCACTTTTCCAAACATATGAAAAACCACCACATGCATATGTTAGGCTGCTGCTGTCGTCTTGATGGCGCAGGATTTGCAATCTGACTCAGGGCAAGGGGCAACTGGTTTGTGAACAATTGCAGCATCGAAGGCAGAAGCCTTGACCGAGAACACAACCCTCACTCCAAAGTTTGGCTACGGTGTGTGTGGATGCTTGGCCCTTGAAGACTTCTGAATGTTCAGTCGGAAACTGAATGCGCAACGCTCGCAAGGCTTTCTCAATGTTGAACCAAGTTTACGTAAATGAAAAAAAAGGAGTTCAGAACCTCAGGGAGATAAGCTCAACCCACAGCCCACCTCAATCGAAGGTCTATCAAGGGGATTTCGTGTGCATTTGCTGGCTTACGTCTTTGGGGCCGTCGGCGATCCTGCCGGCTTGTAGCCGTGACTTGCTGAGGAGTCTGCGCATGGCTCCCACTTCGGAGACAAACTCAGAGTGTGCCTTCAATGGCGAACACATCGGCTTAGGGTTTAGGGTTTAACCCCACTGTCTCTTCCAGTCTCCCTCCCTCCTTTCTGCGCTTCGATCCTCCTTCCCAAAAACCTACATACTTATGTTACACAAACGGTACGTCATAAGCAGGAAGTTCACGGATCTCATCTGGCAGCGGATCCCATCCATGGACAGGCTTCACGGAATGCACCTACATGAAACACGATCAAGCTGTTCTCAGATACAGCTTACGAGCTTCGGAGAACCTCTGAAGTCGCTCATGTGCATGAACAGCCGCCTGAAATTTCACAATGCGAAAAGCAGCATCCAGCTCCTGCATCAGGTAGCAGATTTGCTTGGAACGGGGCTGGCGTCCCCAGGCACATGACCGCTCATGCATGAACCAGCATTCTGAAGGTCCCTTGACACTCAAAAACCGCTGAAGCCCTGGGCTCGAAAGCAGAGCCGGCGCAGTCCCATCGTCCACCCATTCGAGATGCCCGTCCTTTCTGTCCACGCCCAGGTTAAGAGCCGGTCGAAAGGCCTCAAGTGAGGGTTTAGGTTGGGGTTTAAGGTAAACGCCATGCTGCTGTCTTGACATATCGAGGGCAAAAAAGCTACAAACCTTCGGGGGGTCTTGGGCTTCGCGTTGGCCTCGTGGTTTGAGGAGATCTGTGGGGCAAGAGATTCGTTAAGGTTCGGCAGCGGCCTCAAGCTGTGGAGGCTGCTGCCGCCCCAAACCGAGCCAAACACGCGAACCGAAAAGCGGGCAAAGCCCTCAAGCAATAGGCTGCTACATGTAGTGTGCCTCGATTTATGATTGGGCCTATCGCAGCATTCCAGGGTCCGTTGACAAGAACGAGTCCTTGCGGAAGCTCCATGAGGAACCGGCACCAAGAATGCCTTCTACGTCCTGATCCTGCGAGACGAAAGGGGCGGGGAGCTTGAGTCATTCCAGCGCGCCCGGGAAGCTTGAGCAGTTGGGGTTCAAGCTTGGACTCTTGGAGTGTAGGAGAATGGGGGCTCCTCTTCTCTTGGGTGCTGCAGTGCTTTGGGGCCGTTGGGATCTGTCTTGGGGAAGCTGCGTTGCGGAGTTGGAGATGCTCCGGACCCTTAACCCTACAAAGGATGCTGGGCTGGCCGACTGCATGCAAAAAAGATCCAAAAGCCACAGAAGGGTCGGAGTGTCAGAAACACAAAACTCAAGGCCTGCAAAGCTTTACCCTAAACCCAAAACCCTAAACCCTCAAGAAGCTTCGTCCGGCGGGGGGTTTGGACTCTTGCAGGGCCCCCTTCAGCGCCTCCATGGCCGTCGCCAGTTCGTGCTGGATCCTGGCCTTGCGAGACCAAAACACGGGTTCAGGGTCTGGGAGGTCTAGGCTTTAGGAGTGTCGGGGTTTAGGGTCTAGGGGTTTAGTGTTTAGGGTTTAGGGTTTAGGGAGCCCGACCGAAGATTACTGCAGCGAAGAGATGGATCATTGCGACAGTGGCTGTCAGCCATAGTTATTGAGGCTTTCCCGAGGCTGCAGCTCACCCAGAAAGAGGCCGGTCACATGAAAAAATGCGTCCCCCGAAAGAAACAAAACTTCCTATTTCTGCCTTCCCTGCTCCCACAGCTGGCTTGGGCCTTCTCCTCCGCCTGACTCCTCAGTCCAGCCTGCCATCTTCCGGGCTCCCACAGTTTAGGGCTTAGGGTTCAGGCCTGGGGGATTCGGGGTTTCGTGTTTACTGCGGACTTCTACAGAAACGGACTGATCGCACGGACAAACCAAGGGTCTCACAAGCCTAAAAACCCCAAACCCTAAACCCCTAAAGCCCACACCCCAAAGCCCTACAGCAGGAAAAGGTGAATCGAGGGCTGCACCTCGGCTCGGCGGTCAGCAGCTGAAAACTCGCATGGCCGGGCTTGAGAGCTTAAGACTTAGCGGTTTAGGGTCTTAGGGGTTTTGGGGCTTTAGGGCTTTATCGCTCAATTATTCAAGCTCTGGGCAGTTGTTGCACCTTCTGCCATATTCCGAGGTAACTACTGCCTCGAAAGCTTCTCAGCGACTCGCTTCACTCAAGCAAGGGGGCAAGGCAGGGCAATGAGATGCCTCATGCTCCTTTCGCATCTCCTCCGGCATATCCCTTGCAACCCTACACCCGAAGCCCAAACCCCAAACCTTGCCTCTTGGGCTGCTGGCGATGGAGCCGCCTCTGCAGGTTGAACCTGTTCATCGCGGTGAGAGTGTGACTCGTCGACCCTTGGGAAGTGTGTAGTTAGTTGAGACTTAATGACGTATGGCTCATGGCCTCCATGCTGGCCGGGTGGGGGCTTTCAGAATCGGTCAAGCGACATCGAAGTTTTCGAAACGCCAGATGAAGGGTGTGGAAAGGGTCTGCACGACAAGCTTGTCGAGGGATGCGGGAGCATCGGGTATGTATCGAAGCGAATTCTGCTTCTGGTATCGTGCCTGAAGCCAAACAACGGATCCAAAAACACCACGTCATCCGA